TGGAAAATATAGGAAATATTGCAGGACGAATGGAATATCAATTAAAGAGTGAGTTAGAAAAATCAGTGGAATGTATAGAAGACCGAATGGAGAGTAACCATCCACCTATGATGGTTAGACACCTTGCTCATTGTACAAAAACAGTTTGAGGCAGTTGTAAATGGCATTTGCAACGTTGAAATCAAGAAGATCCTACAAGTATCAAGATATCAGACATCATCTCATGCCCTGATTCATGCGCTGGAAGTGTACAATTCTCCAAGAACGTGCCACAAAGTCAGAGTGGCAAAATTAGAGACGGAAGAAAACGACAAGGTGGAAAAGCTGTTGGAAAATTCTCACAGCGAATAATAGATGGACTATTTCAAGGATTGGAGCATGAAGATCTCCTCAACGAAATGTACAGGAAAACTAAAAACAAGCAGTACTTTGGGGAATGTGTTGGTTGGTAATAATAAGACCCCCAAGGAAGTTAAAATAGGCAGTTTCACCAAAGGCAGTAATCCAACTATACCGGGAAATATTAATAGGACTTGGGTGGCAACCAAGATCGATAATAATATTGGCGTTGAAGTCTCAGATCTGCGTAGAGGACTCTTGAGACCTAAAGATCTAACGACTATGCCCGAAAGAATCAGACTGAAGACCGTGATTGGAGAGTCGACGCCAATCATGAGTGAAGCAGAGGTAGAAATATGCATTGGTCAGCTGAAGATAAAACATCGGGTTCTCTTGGCTAACATTAAAGACGACTCTATTTTAGGAATGGATTTTGTGGCGGCACAATAACACGTCGGTACGCGGAGAAAGATAAGTCGCCTCGTGGTCTAGTGGTCTGGATGCTTGCCCGGAAAGTGAGAGGCGTGGGTTCGATCCCCACCAAGGTAACAACATTTTTCTCCGCTTACCCACATTGGTGACCACCGACAGAGAAGCACACACGCACGCACGCACGCAACATCCCTCTGCTGCCGCCCTGTGCCCGCTGTGTTCGGAATCCACAGCACCGCCAAGGTTCGAACGACTACCGTAAGAGCAGCAGGGGCGACGCCGGCAACTATCTCCTTCGCACCCCAGCATAATAACACGTCGGTAAGCGGAGAAAGATAAGTCGCCTCGTAGTCGAGTGGTCTGGATGCTTGCCCGGAAAGTGAGAGGCGTGGGTTCGATTCCCACCGAGGTAACAACATTTTTTCCGCTTACCCACAATTTGATTAGCCGCCATGGATTGACGGTCGATCCAGTAGAGAAAGTCCTACGTCTGGGAACTGAAGTGTTTGTCCTAAATCAGCGCAGTATTGAATCGAAGCTTATAAAACTGATCGCTTGCCAGAATGTGAAAGTTAGAGGGAACGCAGAAACGATTGTTCCAGTCAAAGCATAAGTCAAATCCGGATTTGCCCTCAGCATTATTCAACCACCGTACACCTCCAAGAAGAATTTCATGATTGCGAGTGCTTTAATTAATACCGATGGTGACATACCTGTACGCGTTGCAAATGTTTTTCTCAAACAGACAAACTATGCATCAGATCATCACAACGAAGATATTTCTGATAACAATCTTGAAGAAACTTAGAAATTCCTGCCCTAGAGCTTGGTCATCGAACCGAACATCAGCGAAAAGTGACATGAAAATTTCAATGGAAACACCATGGAATGTTTGCTTCTGGATAGTCCTCTGGGCCCACAAACATAGTGCAACATCGGATAAACACTGGAAACGTGCAACCGATCCGTCAAGCCCCGCGAAAACTACCTTTGGCGAAACAAGAGGAACCCGATGAACTAGTACGAAAAATGTTGGATGAAGGCGTTATAGAGGAGTCAAACAGTCCATGGTCTTCGCCTGTAGTGCTAGTCACCAAAAAGGACGGGTCGATGCGATTCTGCGCAGACCACAGGAAACTCAACGGTGTAACCAAGACGGACAGTTACCCTCTTCCACGAATTGATGACACGCTCCCAACATTATCAGGATCCGCCTGGTTCTCCACGTTGGATCTCAAAAGCGGCTATTGGCAAGTTGGTATTCGTCCACAAGATAAGGAAAAGATCGGTTTTTCTGCCGGGAGCGACTTGTATCAATTTACCACAATGCCTTTTGGACTGTGTAATGCTCCGGCTACTTTTGAGAAACTAATGGAGATGGTAGTACGAGGACTAACATAGAAAACATGTTTGGTTTATTTAGACGACATCGCGGTAATGGGATAGACATTTGAGGAGCACTTGACCAACCTAGAAGAAATATTTAGTCGAATGAAGGAAACAAACTTGACGCTGAATCCGATGAAATGCCTTCTCTTCCAAAAAGAAGAAGAATTTCTGAAGCATACTGTTTTGACAAACGGGATCAAGACTACGGTAACGAAGATCAATGCGATTCGCGATTGGCCAAGACCAAGAAATAAACACGAAGTCCGGAGCTTCTTGGGATTGTGCACGTACTACAGAAGGTTTGTTAACGGGTTTGCTGATATTGCTGCTCCCCTGCAGAGGCTGACGGATGTGAAGTCTCAGTTTAATTGGACTGCTGAATGTGAAGCAGCCTTTAAAAGATTGAAGAACGCACTATGTTCTAGTCCTATTTTGTTCTATCCTCGATCATCGGCAATGTTCATCTCGGACACGGACGCATGCAACATCGGAATAGGTGCCGTATTGTCACCCTCTTTCAAAGCGTTATGGAGGGGGAGAGTCCGGATGGGAAACATACGACCATGCAGTTGGTGGTTCCAGCCACTAGAACTAAGGAAGTACTTCGAGAAATGCACAACGCCCGCTTTGGTGCTCATTTGGGTATCAACAAGACGCTTTCTAAAGTCAGGAGAGATTCTACTGGGTCCGTTGTCCAGAAGATATCGAGAACTAGTGCAAGACATGTACGACCTGTGCGGCGGTCAAGGGACCGAGGACTAGGGCGAGAGGGCCGATGCAACAGTAAACCTCGGTTCGCCTTTAAACAGAATTGCAGTGGATCGGCGACCGAGGACGGGAATAAATACATAATGGTCGTCAGCGATTACTTCAGCAAATGGCTCAAAGCCTATGCCATACCGAACCAAGAAGCCACAACGGTTGCAAAAATGCTAATTGACAATTGGATCAGCAGGTTTGGGGTTCCAATGGAAATCCGTTCGGACCAAGGCAGAAACTTTGATAGTCAAACTTATTCCAAAGGGTTACTGAAGTACTCGGGATACGGAAGACGCGGACTACACTGTTGCACCCGCAGTCAGATGGAAGGTTGCTATTGGCTTATCGATGAGCTGTCCATGACACGACGGGTCAGACACCGGCGCGCATAGTTTTTGGAAGAGAACTTCGTTTGCCTTCCTTGTGACGTCTTGCACGGCTGTCCGAGTGGAGGACTAAAGGAGGTCATAGATTACGTCGATGACTTGAAGGAGAAGCTGTTAACCGTTTACGAAATGGTGTGCCACAAGATTCGGGTGGCGAGTGATAGAATGACGCCTATGGGTTTTCTAGAGGGCTTTCTAGTATGTACGGCGATGATGGGTGACTCATCATCGGTGACGGCGGCTGGACGGCGTTCGACTAAAGAAGCGCCTAGAAGCGCTTCTGCGAAAATCTCGGCGGAGGGCTCCAGAACGAAGTCGAAACGATGACAGCAAACTATCCAGAAAGGAACCCATCAGTCTCAATAGTGACCAGTCAATTTTAGTCCAGTCAACGAGATAATATTAGAGTCTAAGCTGAGTTGGAAATATAATCAGTGTGTTGATAGTCGTATTACCTATGCCAATTTTAATTACCGATCATCGTAAAAATATAGTATTGCATATCCTCGGATTGCGCATCAACTAAAAACGAGCCTGCAGTGTTTCTTTTTCGTGGAAGATGTCAGTGAAAGGGGAAGCATTCAATGATAATATCTAAGTAATAGCACGACAGTATTCGATAATGAAATCACCATAAATTTTCTGACAGGAATAAATAAATAAATTTAATTAATACTCCCTAATCACCTTCCTGAAATGTTGATGAAGTTCTTCCTTACTTTCTGTCCCCGTAAAAATTATACAAGTTCGTGTATTGTAACAACATAAACACGTTTCAAGGAGATTTACTTAACATAACTTTGGAATGACGTAATCAATTTTTTGGAATTAGACAAATGTTAGTTAGTCTTCGTGTCAAAATTAAAATAATTCTAAAGTTTTAAAGCAAACACTTCGGCTTTTCATCAATAGAAAACAATCGCCCGACCACAGAAAGAACGTTGTGTAAAATTTATATTAATCCTTTTGCAAATAATTGAAAGAATTTTGAAGTTAAAAGGTTACAACAATCAAAGTGAGTTTAATTTTACAAAAAAAGAAAACAAACAGACACAAATACTTCAAAAAGCTAACAGGGGTTATAATGTGAACAAAATCAATGACTTTTAGCAATTTAGTGCCGGATTTGTGTTAAAATGTTTCGGCAGAGCTTTACGTGGGTCTGTGTCGTCGGCCTAAGGCTGCTTTTAACCCTGCGGTGCATCATTTTTACACCCTTTTTAAGCGAAACAAGGAACACTAATTTTACAGATCAATATATTTACAGGGTCTGCAAAACAGTGGTCACAGTTTAATTAGTGAAAAGTTCATGCGAAACTATAAGTTTTTTCGATCTTCATGAACTTGTTGAATCCGTCAATCTCATTAAATTAGGTATCTGCAGATGAAGTTGTCAACCCGTCTGCATTTAAGATACTAGTGATGAAACATCCATGCTGTAAAGTATATTCGCCCTGCCCCAAATAATTTTTTATTGTACACCCGTTGTAAGCCCTCGATTTTTCTTCTACATTGTTGCAGCATAATTTAGACCCGTGAACGGCTATCAGAATTTCGACACTTCCTCGGACAGTATATCTCAAAGGTTTGTTCTCTCAAAAATGAAAGGCTGTCTTATCAGCCCGAAAATTATGACGAACGCGCACAATGCAACATAATTTACTTTTTGCAATAACAATAACGTGGACGTTTCAGATTCTGGCGTTCCTCCTTCTTGTTTCCACCGCTGTGTGCGATGTTTCCCACTTGGTGAGACTGCAACAAACCGAACCGTCCACCCCGCCGCCGCCCCCGAAGCCCTACGCTTTCGGTTACGCCGCTGGTCGATTTCCCGGACACATTGACCGGACTCATTCGGAAGTTTCCGATGGATCCGGTGTTGTACAAGGTAAGGTCCTTTTTTATTCACTCTACTCTCATATTTTTCGTTTATTAGACATTTAATGATAAAGGTTTGGGGTTTGAAAGGGGATGATAAACATCTAAACTTGGCTGGTAATTACGTACAGTAAATAAACCACCTGCTTTTTAATACTCCTATCTCGGGATCTGGTAAATATTATGTAGGGTTCGTTGGACATGTCTAATAACTTTAAACTTGTAATGATAATAGTGATAAAGTGAGTTAGACCAACGAGAAGAAAAGTCTATTCACCCGTGTGTACATTTCACCGACTCTTAGGTTGTTGTCACTGTGACCTCGTATCGCAGTAATTAATTTAGAGTCGAGTTTTCTTTTTTTTTTTTCTTTTTACTGTAACTGTATAATTTCCGTCTCTAATTTTGTGCCATAACAATTAAATCTACTTATTTTCTAGAAATACAAAATTATAACCAAATATGTCTCAATAGTCTACGTTTTTACGTAAAAATATTATCATATTTAAGCATACTTAAATTCGCCATATTTAAATATGGACGACTGGAACTTTGGATTAAAGTTTTTGATTACCTTCTTTTACACAAAGATACAAAAAACGGAGGACTACTTTGACTTATTTACTATCTACCTTATATTTCTAAGCTTTCTTTTGATGTCAACACGAAAAATGTGAAAAACCTGACAATTTACAAATTTGATCACCCTGCATAAATGTACAAATATCTTGAAACTATTCATCAAATACTCTTGCATCTGAGATTATGTTTCGTTTTTTATAAAAAATCTAAATCTATAAAAATACAGTCGAGGCCAGAAAATCTTGGAGCATCATTCTGTCATCTTGAAAATGTTGATGTAGTCTATGCTTTATTATTACTCTGATGTTTGAAATTTAAAATATTTGTCACGTCGCATCTAGTGGTAGCATACCCGAAATGGCAAAACTTAAGAATAAAGTTATAATAATATTTAAAGTGACAGTAGAATGACACTTACGACCAAGATTTTCTCTCCGCGACTGTATATAGGGTATTCCATTTAAATGATGTACTCTTTTAGTAGAACACCTATATATTTGAAAATAATTATGACTTGTACCCGTAAATCAGTTCTACTACGACTGTAACAAAGAATATTTTCAATAGTCCACTATTAATGTATAATCTTGCACCCTGTATACCTTTCATTATCAAAACAATGCTCAGTTCTTCAGAATCTTTTTGTTCTTTACTCGTTTTGTTCAGTCTTTTACCTTCTTTCATATTATATCTCTGCTTTTTTGTTTAAATTCACCACCTTTATATTTTTCTTTTTTGTGTCTTTTGTGTTCATTTTCTTCTTATCTCTTTCACTACATACAGTAATTTTAGTAATGTATGCCCAAAAAACCAAAACGTCGTCTTCAACCTTAATAATAAAAAATTACTAAAAACAGGATGTTGATTTGAAGCCTAGATTGCGTATACAGGGTGAATCACTATACAAGTATTCCTCCACATCTTAGTAATTAATTAGAGATATACAGTTAAAAAGAATGAATTACCAAAGTCATATTAAATGGAACATCCTACATATTTTTTCATGTCATGTTCTTAGGCTTACAACTATATTTTATTTTTGAAATTCCGATGCGATGTTGCCACGTATTCCAATTTTCTATATTTTTTCACAAAAAAAAAACGCAGTACGGTTATTTTTAGTATATGTGACACAATATTTCAAGAATTGATAAAGAGAGATACGCGCTTTGTTGTGCTCCTATATGCAGGTGTTCATTAAAAAATCTGCAGTATTATCATTTGCAAGCATCGATATTTTGTTCTTTCATATAGATCATCTGTATTCCATTACTGTATTTTACTTTATTTTTATTCACTTTCTTTTGATTCATTAGTAGTGTTGTAAATATACCGGTAAATTATACAGGGTGAGTCACTACGCACGTAATCTCATTGATTATTAGAAAGTTGCAGAGTTCTTTTAGGACCATATACAAAAATTAATTTCAACTATACTCTAGAGTGTTCTGTGTTTAAGGTATAACGCACAACTTTTTTTTTCAAATAGTATACGCTATATATTTTCAATGTAATCTTAGGCTTTATAACGATAGTGTATTTTCGATATGCCCATGCGACGTTGCAAAGTTATATCAATTTTTTTGTTTTTTTTTTTTTAGAAATTGAAGGGTTTGCAATAAATTCAAAATAGGGTTATTTTTTAAATCTGGGTCATAACTCATAATATTTTATGGAGGGATAAATAGATACGCGCTTTATTGTGGTATAAATAAAATTTGGTTTTTATATACAGAGTGTTTGTAAATTAACTTAAATTATAACAATTTTAAAATATCGATTTCTCAGCTTTTTTCAATAGAACAAACACCCTGTTTTATGTTTTCTTCTTTTTTTTTTAATATTTTCAACATTTAAACTTGATATTTATTGAGATTTTTACTTTTTTAGAGGACCCACAGACATACTGACAGAAAGAGAACAAAAAAATGGATTATCATGTAGTCATAAAATTCTATTTGAAAAAACAAAAATACCGATATTTAAAAGTTTTAAAGTTCAAATCGCTTATCTCTGTTTATCTGTTTTTGGGAACCCCTATATTGCTAAAAAAATATGGCTTAGGGACAAAGGCTAATAAGAATATATTTATACCCTATATATTTAATAAATAATAGGTTATTCTATCCAGAAAAACTAAGTTGTGTGAAAAGAAGAACAAAGAAAGTCGAATTGAGGTTATGTTTGTTTAACAAGTAACTCGTAATCGTCCTTGGGCATATGTTGTGTCAATTATATGTATTTATGTTGCTTGATAAGAAAATTAAGAATAAAGTACACTAAAACAAATTGTTTTTCTTTACTTTTAATAACATTTATTTATAATAACTACAACAAAAAATATAATATAATAATGGTAAACTAAGCTGTAACCAGTGGCGGCGTAAAGGGGGACAACGACAACTCACTCGCACAACTTAAGAATACTTACAGAAGATTCAGTCTGCAAAAACATACAAAAAAAAATCAGGACGGCAGACAGACGGAAATGGAAGACCTATTTCTTCGTACTCTAGGGGTCATGAAAGGTCGGAAAATGTAAAAGTAGAGAGTCGGCCGAGGGACTTAATTACAACACTTCCTAATATTTTGCCTTTTTTTTCTTAATACACATAGCCATCTTTTCACAATAAGAAACGTAAAACATGGTTAAAATAGTACTCCCCTATATTTTTTAAAGGAAATGTGGATTTTGCAATTATGGGGTGGAGCTTAATTGCAAAATCGATATTTCCTTAATACAAATTTTCCATTTTAAACATGTTTTACGTTTCATGTTGCAAAAAGAAGTCTACACATATTAAAACAAAAAGGCATAATGTAATCCCGCCCACCCGCCCCGTCTCAATTGTGATAATTTTTTTTATTCGCTGTGATCCAAAGGGGCGGAGCTTAACTGCAAAATTCTTATTTCATTACAGAAAATTAAAAACATGTTTTTGATCATCGTGTTGTTCAGACAATACTATGTATATTAAGAAAAAAAGGCAAAATATAAACTCCATCCACCCACCCCATCTCAATTGTAATCATTTTTTTTGTTTTTATAAACTTAAAACACTTTCAAAATGGTAAATTTTCGTAAGGAAATATGGATTCTGCAATTAGACTTCACCCCTAGGTCTGCCAACGAATGAAAACTTCATTACTATTTAGATCCTGACAGTTATGTGTTTTTTGTTAATATTCATAGTATCCTTTGATACTCAAAAAATTGTCTTACATGGTAATTTCTTGTAGAACGAGAAATAATAATAATTTTGCATTTAAATTCCGCTCCTTTGGCTGTCGACGATTATAAAAAAAATTATCACAATTTAGATAGGGCGGGTGGGCGGGGCTTATATTTTGCCTTCTTTCTTAATATACGTAGTTGTCTTTAGTACAAGAAACTTAAAACATATTTAAAATGGTAAATTCTTGTAGACAAATATCGATCTTGCACTTAAGCCCCGCCCCTCGATCTGACAACGAATGAAAAATCCATCACAATTGAGAATTTAGATCGGGGTGGGTAGGGGTACATAGTATTCTTTGAACAATACGATACTCAAAAACATGTTTTTAATATCTCGTAGAGAAATAAGGATTTTACAGTTAAGCTCCGCCTTCTTGGCTCACGACGAATAAAAAAAATCATCACAATTGAGATAGGGCGGGTGGGCGGGGCTACATTTTGCCGTTTTTTCTTAGTATGTGCAGACTTATTTCGATAACAAGAAACTTAAAACATGTCTAAAATGGTAAATTTGTATTGCAATCAACTTAAATCCTCCACTTTTCTTCTACAATCCCTTTAAATACGGCAAACGTTAAACATCAATGTTACTATCAACAGCAACTTAGCAACGGAGTTTATAAATGCCAATTAATGTCAATCGGTCAATCAGACTGAAGAATTGACGGGAAATTTAAAATAATTGACATTACCTACCGGTCAAAACGTCAAATAATTAGCGTTAACAACCGCAGAAACTATCAACTTTAGATGTAGAAACTTTTCAACAAAAAAGGAAGAAACTAAAAATCACAGTGAAATATAATAATCTGAGTTATAATTAACTGCTAGTTAAGTTATGATGATCACACATAATATAAAAATGTTTAGAATAATTTTCAACTTAATATCCTGCAAGATATGCAACCAGTTAAATGCTTATCAACAACGTTACACAATCAGAACGAGGCGGAACAAATCAGTGCCCACTTGGATGCATGAATCATTTATGAAAGCCCTGCAGATAAAACAATTTTCCTTCCAATTTGCAAAGAAATAACAATCTCCAACGAGGAGTCATTTGTTTGTCTAAGACAAAGCGACAAAGAATGATTTTAGTACTTGGAAATGCTTGCAAGCTTTGAGAAAACCTATTGTTTTCTGTCTGATAGCGCAAATTGCGTTCTTCATGGCCTGCTTGCCCTAGGTCCTAGCGCATTTTGTTGGAATTTTACACTTACTTTTTAAATCCGTCTGGCGGGACCATAGTTATAACAAAACGGGATAAAGTTATTTAATATAGTAATAATCATTTCTTTATTTTAATTTTGACAATTAGTTAAAGCAAGCTTTTTTGTCCTGAAGAAGGTGATGGTGATGCTCACGTTTACCATTCTTGTGTATTTCGTCGGAATCAACTCACTCAACCTTTAAAGTACAGAAAGTCAGGTCTTTGCCTTTTGTCGAATATATCTAATCGGACGAGTTGAGCTACTAGTAGATGGAACGACGGCGCTCGCAGCTCTCTCAAAGAGGCTGAAATATCTGATATAATGTTACGCCACCGCGTAATCTTAGCTCCTTGTTTATTTCTTTTTTATTTCGTTGATTGCTTTACAAACTTCCATTTGTCTCGGTGAGGCTTCGTGATTACGACTTCCGCTGATAATTAAAACTCCCATTCATCATTTTTCACATTTTTACCCACTCGTTGTTTCGTACTTGTCTTAGTAAAAAAAGTTACCGATTTTGTTTGAGAGCTATAAGGAGTGGCCATTCGCTCCTCGTTTTATCCATCCACTTTAGTCAAACTTCTTGTTTAGGTTCATATTCATACGTCGACCCCCGCCACCAAATCCGCACCGTGGAGTACATCGCCGACAAAGATGGCTTCCATCCGGTCCTTAACAAAAACCCCCCGCCTGTGCCATCCGACACTCCGACTGTAGCCGCCGCCAAAAACCGCCATTTAGCTAAATTCGCCGAAATAGCTAATGCCCATGCCTTCGCACCCGGAACTGTGGTCGTTCCGGTCGATTCGGTGGCGGTGTCACGTGCCAAAGACAAACACTTCCAACTATTTCAGAAGATAGCGGAAGAACACGCCCGCCTGGCGGCCCTGCAAGAAGCGGAGAACCTGGCCAGTGAAGGGACAAATCGACCGATTTTACTGAAAGAGCACTGAATTTTATATTAGTGTTATTAATTCGCGATTGCCGGAAGTAATCACATAAATGGTAATATTTTATGGTTTTTAAACACGTCTGACGTGACAAGTGACGTCATTCGTACGTTACCATCTTCCTGGTTACTTCTACCGAACGTGAATCGATAAAATGTTTAATTTGTTGTTAATTACGTAGGGTACATAGAGAATTTGTAATGTTACAGTGTAAAACGGTAGATTAATTTGTTTTATATGCTTTTATTGTGTTATCGACATAACTGAATTTGGACGCTTTGCTACGCCAATACAAGTTTTGATTTATTACTTCTATTATTTACGAGATAATGGTGTGATGGTAGGCCATCAGTTTCAATAAATAGCTCTTATTTTTAAAAATGGACTTGTTATTTTTTTGTAAAAAACGCAATATTATATTCATCCATTGTTCGAAAATTTGCGCGAACAGAAATGTAGTTATTCAAAAAGGGATAATTTAAATACCTTTTGAAATAATTTGTAAATATTTTATTATGTATTAAAATTTCCACTGAATGCCTTTTATCGCTACAAAACAAGAGCTTATGCTCTGAAATGATTGCATGGAACCTATACATGGTGCTGTGCAGTTTAAATGAATTATGGGCGTAAATATTTTACATTTTTAACAACGGTATACAACGTTGCAGTAAAACGGGAACTTTAACCTGAATAGAGGTCAAAGTTTTAATAATGATAACGAAAAAGTTTCGTTGCAGCTTTTAAACAGAAATTAACTTACTGGTTTTTAATATTTTAAATAAAGAAATATTTAGTAATTTTGCAACGCACTGTTCCTGAAATATTGGGAAAAACTACATTTTATGTGCACGTTGAAAGTATGTCAAAAAATTACCAAATTTGCCATCAGAATTATTTGTCAAACAGAATCTTTGGTTTATTTAACGATTTACTGCTCGACTTAATTCTGAACAATGAAGCGACTTAGTAATCAAACAAAACAAGTTATATTAAATGTCTACTACCCCCACCCACCCGCCCTCTCTTTTCTTAGAGCGTATGGCATTTGCCAAAATCAGTTTTATCTTAGCAGGTACTAGCCCCGCCCACCCGCCCTCTCTTTTCTTAGAAGATATGTCATTTGCCAAAATCAGTCTTATCCTAACTAGTAGCTGCTAACATAAAAATGACTTGACATATCCTCTAAGAAAAGAGAGGGTGGGTGGGCGGGGCTAGTAGTTGTTAAGATAACAGTCAATTTATTTTCAATGTTTGTCAACACTGCTTTCGAATTCCGAAAAAAACCGATATGCTTTTAACTTTGGGAAAGTGGGACTAGTATGAGAAGACTCGAAAAAAAATTAAGAGAAATCGAAAAGAATCGTGGTGTCGTACAGATATTCATATACCACCCGAGATTCTAATTAGACTACGTACGAGTAGAAGCGCTGTGTGAAGAAGGATAAGGCGGGCAGTTTGAGTACTTATTATAGCATACCTATTTATTTATTTTATTTTATTTTATTTTATTTATCAGGTTACTAGGTCTACAAATACACTGGACATAGCAAAATAGTAATTTTCAATATGTAAAAAATTAATCGGAAGTTTGTGTCATAATTATCAAAACTATTTTTTTTAGCTCGCTCCACTTGTATAAAATGCAGCAAAACTTACATCCACTTACACCTAAAGATGTTGTGTCTTGGATATACGATATTGTTACGAAATAAACCCGCACGCCGCCCCGGTACGACGTCTATGGGTCTTCTAGTAGGTATGCGTTTCTTCCAGTGTGTAGTATGACTCATCGATAACGGGCCCGGAAAACCCTCGAAGCGGCGTTCTGGATCCATCGAGAGAAACATTATAGGTTTTAAATAGAGGCCACCGTCGAGAACGACGCTTATTCATTATGTCATCACGTCGAGTCCAGTGAGCGTCCAGACAAGTTACGCCGGAGTTATTTTGTACATAATCGCTGTAATAGTTGTTCGTGTAAATTCGAGTAAGAAATAAATTGTTGAGTTTACCGTACGCCGAGTTTATTCGCCCGCTCAACGTAACAATTTGTTATTGCTGATGAAGTGCTGACAAAAGCGGAGACGGGGACCAAATAATGGCCGATTTAGACGTTTTGTTTACACCGTTGCCATGGAAACCGTGCGTGCAGTCGTGGTATTCAGCTGGTCCTGTTCCGACAGTGCCCACTAGCAGTAACTCAATTGCGGGTTTTAATTTTCATTCTGCGCAAGTGAAATTGTTTGATTTTAAATAAACATGACGAATTGGCTTGAATAAATATTTAATAAAAATTTTACCGTCGTACTCTTTGTAACGGCGGTAAAATTTTAGTGAAAAATTTAGGGACAGCCACCCCCGATTTATTAATAAAAAACTGTTTATGGCAAAACGAGAGACTTTCACAGATATTTTAATAGACGTAACACGTATGATACATATTGGTGAATGGGCAATTGTGAAAAAATAATAAATTGTTTTGTTTGTGTGCCTCCTTAGTAACGAGTTAAAACCATCGCCGTGGATTAATACTGGTGTGGACGATCTACGATTCGAAGGTATCTGGACAAATATTTTTTACTTTTATTGAATGTATTTTTGTATTTATTTCCGTCACACAATTTCGTCTATTAATTGGTAATAACAACCTGTTTAATATCTTCATATTTAACTCATCAATCAATTTGTATCCCCCCATTTCAAAAGGTCACGAGCCGCCACTGTTGTTTATATTCGCTTAAGGATCGAATAAATTACCTTCTAAATATTTTCTTTAAATTTTGCCATTATTAGTTGCTTGACGTCTTTGTTTGTTATTATGACATAGTGTCATTTTGTTCTTGTTGAATTTACTACGATTGCTAATTTAAAAAGAGTAATAGATGCATAATGTGTTGCCTACACCAAAATATTCAGGCGTGAACAGATAAAATAATCATTTTTGGAGTTAAGGGTATGTTATTCGCCAAAATCAGTCTTATCATAGCAAGTAGTAGCCCCGCCCACCCCACCTCCTTTATTTTCTTAGAAGGTATGTCATTTGCCAAAATCAGTCTTATCTTAGCAAGTGTTAACCCCGCCCACCCGCTCTTCTTATTCTAGCGACTAATTTTATTTTTGTTCAGTATAAGATCATTCATTTCAATGGGACCAGATAAAATTAATAACTGAAATGGAGGAGGGGTGGGTGGGCGGGACTAATTATGTTCTTCTGTTGAGTGGGAGGGGAAACTAATAGAATTTAAGGTGTGGAATGCAAAAGGTTTATACCATTCGATTGCTTCAAGTTTATTGGTCAAGGAAAATGTGATTCTTTCGCATTTTACAAAAAAAAATAACACAAAGAGCCTCCGAGATTCTTTCAGCTTCTCAAAAAAAAAATTGGGGAACCCCAGATTCTTTCGGCTTTTAGAGAAAAAATAACATCAAGAGGCCCCGACGTCCTTTCAGCTTCTTCACAAAAATAGCTAGGAACCCCCAAGATTCCTTCAGCTTTCCCAAAAAGAGACCACGGTGCCCCGCCCGCCCGCCCTCTATTTTTTTTTAGAGAGTACCATTTGCCAAAATCAGCTTATCTTAGCAAGTGCTAACCCCGCCCACCCGCTATTCTTATTCTAGCGACTAATTTTATTTTTGTTCAGTATAAGATCATTCATTTCATTGGGACCACATAAAATTAATCACTAAAATGGAGGCGGGGTGGGTGGGCGGGGCTAATTATGTTCTTCTGTCGAATGGGAGTGTTAGTGTGTTAGTCAAGGAAAATCAGATTCTTTCGCCTTTTAGAAAAAAAGTAACATCAAGAGGCCCCGACGTCATTTCAGCTTCTTTACAAAAATAGATAGGAACCCCCAAGATTCCTTCAGCTTTCCCAAAGAAAGACTACGGACCCCGCCCACCCGCCCTCTATTTTGTTAGAGGCTATCATTTACTGAAATCAGCTTATCTTAGCAAGTACTAACCCATTATTAAATAATAAATCAGAAAAAGATTTGCAATAGAATATAATCCATTGCCAAAAAGAACTAGAAAAAATAAACGTGGAAATAAATATGGACAAAACAAAGACGATGATGCTGGTGGCAAAAGAGAAATTCCACAAATTATAACGAATAATAGACAAAGTATCGAACGAGTCAAAAGGTATAACTATTTGGGAAAATCTAGAAATAACCGAGAGTCTAGGAATAGTGAGAAGAGTACAAAAAGGCCTCAAGAACTCATTCTTGGGAAAAAATGTCGAAAGAAATAAAGAAAGAATAAAGAGAACAATTAAATGTACAGTGTAGATAAATAAAAAGAAAAAAGTGGTTTTGCCTAAAAAATCTTTATTACGTCATCTCAAAAGTTTAAGAGTAATTTTAATGGTAACCACAGTAATAATTAATTAGTAATTAACTACTGGGATAACTCAAACATTCCGCCGAAATTGAGACATGCGCACTACATTTTAAAACCCGCGGAAATTTAACTGTGATCGTTAGCAAAATGGAACCCTACGTTGTGTTTTGAAATGGTGGAATGCGTTCTAATGCAAGGTGGTGAACCGCAAGGGTGAAAAAGTGACTGAATTAACGACATAAACGTTATGGAGGGAATAATTTTATTGAGTTCTTTCAAAAGACTGTAATTTCTCAACCATAATATTGCCTCGCTCTCTTCAAATACAATATTACAAACTTATGCCATATAAATACGTCTTGTTATTAATTTAACAAAATTCCTTACTTCAGAACATCTTGTCCAAAATGAGTGGATGACGATACCAATGTTTTTATGGTGGCGTGTAGACAATATTACATTGACAGTTAAACAAACAAAATTAAAAATAAAAAAAAATACAAATGTTAAATATCGTCAAAAACACAAAAATATCGTTCGGTGTGCACGTCGCTTTGACAGGCGCGTCCGAGTAAAAAAGCGTTCCAAAATTCCAAGACTGGAGTCATAGAACACATAAAACAACACAAAATCAGCATAAAATCCCCTTTCTCTCACGATGACATTTACTTTACTGTAAATTTCCAAAGCAAAACAATGTTTATTAATTAAATCGTGAATCCCGCAATTACTATTTTAAAATTCCCAATCTCCTTTTAGACATTTCACAATTTAAAATATTATAAACTATTATATATCTCATTTGAATAAAATTGTTCATTTCTTGGTTACTATTCAAGAAAATAAAATATATAATTTCGAAAAATTGCGTGAAATAAAACAACAATTCTTGTCCTTTTAACAGTTCGTAGGGGTCATCAAAAAACCGCCTAGATGGGCGGCATTTTTTAGTCCAAGTACCTGGACATATAAAAATTTTGTAAAACGAATTTAAACTAACCCATGGTACAAGCCAGAAAAGAGTTAAAATGTGTCAATAGAATGTGTGAGTGGCAACTATAAATAATTTCATTTTGTGTTCTCTTTTTCCCTTGTATTATTGGTTGCCTATATAAAAAAGTATGTACATATTAATAAATAATACAAAAAAATATTGAATACTTACTATTCTAAAAAAATGCACTTATTTTACTTTAATTTAATATTACTGTTATAGGCAAAATCTACTGACATTTTGAAATAATAATAAAGAAACAAAATTTAAATCAGAACTATGAAACGTTGAAATCTAGAAATGTTGTTGTTGTAAATAATCTGATAAAAAATTTTGCAACTTGTTTGTCATAAAACACGTTCACTAAGATTTAAAAATAAACCCGAAATATCACGAATACGGTCCTGTTCTAAATTGAACATTCCCTCTACGTTCCGTTCCCGCTATCACTGCTACCAACCACACCACAAAATCCCCACGAACTGTCACTTGTCAACAGTCACTGTCATTGTCTTCAAAAGTCAAAATCCATTGTCATTAATTAAAGCAATCGAAACTGTGAATCAGCTGTGTTATTAGTTCTGTGATCTACTTACCCAAAACGCCCCCAGTACTAATCTAACGGCTTCTTGTGCACAAAAACCCAAATGTCCAACCATCGATACGTAAAATCAACGAATCCCTTCGAAGACGACGACGATGTGGATGATGAAACGTTTTTACGGAATTCCCGAAGAACAAATGAGACCCAGCCATCCTTCGAAGACCAGCTCCAGACATTCCAGGAACGCAAACGAGCAATAGAAGACCGCACCATCAACAGCACCCAGAAGAGTTTAAGTATTTTGAGAGACTCGGAGCAGATTGGGATAGCAACGGCCGAGGAGCTGATGAGACAGCGGGAGAAGCTGGAAAAAACTGACAAACAGTTGGATGAAATCAACGCCACGTTGAGATTCTCGCAAAAACATATCAACGGAATTAAGTCGGTTTTTAGCAGTTTGAAGAATTATATGTCTGGGAAAAACGATGCCAGTCCAAGTCCGCCTGCAACTTCCAAAAAGGTTTGTTTTTGAGAATTGTAATGTGTGAGTAATTGTGGATTTTCAGGAGCAAGATGCCGCCGATTTGCATCAGGAGTTTGAGGAGAAACTTTCAACGTACGACCGGTTTGAGAATCACCCCAGTACGAGAGTACGAAACTTGGATTACAGTTCGCCCCCGTCGCAGACTTCAGGGAGTAAAGACTTTAGTGCACGCCTTGACGCTAATTTGCAAGAAATGTGTTCAAACATCTCGCGTTTGAAAGGTTTGGCTACTGATTTATCAGGCGAGATTGATTCACAAAATGATCTGATTAGTACAATTACTGATAAAGCGGAAACAGCTGATATGAATATTTCCAAACAGAATAAAGATATGTTGAGACTATTGAAGAAAAATTGAAGTGTGTAGTAAGTTATTAAATCTATGTGGGTTAAAGTGTGTTGATCTGTTGCTACAAATCAAAATTAGGTTTATCAAGCATGAGTGTGGTTGATTTTTTGTGATAATTAAATTGGCAGAAGTGGATTATGCAGACGAGATTTTTCCTATTTTCAATACTCTAGTTAGGTGTAGTTAAGATTTCTATATGCTATTGATTATCACATTTGTTTATTTTTGATGATTTAATAAAATATGCTATTATTTATATAGTGGCTGAATTTTACTGTTGCCTTTATTATAAATTCTATTTTGATGTTAAATATTAATTGCAGATGTCTAAATAAAAATTTACTTGCAGATTCAGTCAAGTTTTTTTGATGCCGTGTGACCGAAAATACAGTGGATTAGAGTTGGCCTTGCCTGTCAAGCTGTGGGTGGTACTCTTGCTTCAGTTTGACATAAATCGTCAACATTACCATTTTACGAATTTTATTTTAGTGTAGGTGGTTTGAGGCACTAACGTAGCCACAAACACGATGTGCGATTAACACTTGCATTCCTGAAGCTTTACTTCCAGAGGAGGAAAGCAGTTAGACAACGTCATTCACGGCAAGATTGCAGATAAACGTTCACATGAACAATAATAATGAGAACAAACTCCATATTTGGGTACGGACCCGTCACTCTGCTTTTGCCACACGATCCCATGCATTTATTTCAGTTAAAATTAAAATTTCCTGAATTTTGATGACTATTATAATTACAAGGAAGGAAACAATCAAGCTCTAATTATGCCACAAATGTTCAAATTGAAGCTGCAAGAAATTATTAAACGTGTAAGGAAATATTAAAGCCCTCCCATTTTCGAGTCTATGATGGTCTTAATTTAACTGATGATAATTGGGGCGAGTCCACCCTGGTCCACCCTCTTGATTGTAAGCAACGACATACGTTCGGTTTTCTATGTACGTAATTGAGAGTAAAGAATTCGAAACGCGCGTCTTTGCATATCCGTGTTTTCTTGCTCCAAGCGGGGCAGGACGCCCTGGCCTCAACGTATATCATATCTCAAACGCTGCAGAATCGGATCTCTTGATATTCGATTCAAGGGTTCAATAAATTAATTTCGATTTTTTTACTTCTTCTGTATTGTAAAAGTATAGAGGTAATTATTTTTATTACTCTACTGAAATATGGGTAAAGTAGTAAGGAAAATAATGTTATGCGAAAATTCTTGAATACTATTGTTACAGAAAAGAGCGACACCATAATAATTAATAAATACTTTTTCATATCAAATGAAAATTTGTAATAACCATATTCTTGTATTATGACACCGTGTAGTAAACTTTATAATGAATTATAAATTTAAAAATCCGAATAACCAATGATGAGAATAAGTAATACATTTATTATTGCAGTACGTATCTGACATGTGTATTTTTTTATTATTACATATGCATTTTTGTTTCATAAATATAACTGTAGCAGAGTCAACAAAAGTTAAATATACGCTTAATTTATTATTTAATTCAGACTGTCCGCACAGGTTTGTTATGCGTTCGCTCTAGCATGGGTGGGCAAATCCACCCTGAAAATCGGAAGCACTCGGCATGGTTCGTCCTCGTCGGAGACACGACTCAATTCAGTTTAGTCAGATCAGAAACTGCATTGTGGACAGTGCATTTAATTATAAAATGTAGCTTATTCAAATTATCAAATAGTTAGGTGGGTACCAAAGTAGGTACTTTCTAGCAATTTTTTTTAATGGCAAATCCTACTGTAAGCTGTACAAATAATATTAGAGAGGTGGTAAAGAAGGCATTAAAGACATTGAGTTTTTGTTTTTAATAAATAAATTCAGTAGTATGGAACTTGATATTTGTAGCAAGGTTTTGCTTTATCCAGTGGAATTGATTGTTTGGAAATTATAGGTGAATAAAACTGAACGAAACGATTGAAATGTGTATTGCAACTTGGTGGTACATCAACTGAACTTACAGTCCTTGTTTGTTTCAAGTGCGCACATGCGCAAGCTTATGTCGGTAATACAGTTAGCAAAAGGGTAGTTTTCTATAATATCAACACTCCCACTAGAAAACTACAACTATCAACAAAAATAATTTTAAATCTAAATAAAGTAAAATTAACGCTTCTTGAGTCCCATTTCCTTCAGGTGCTTTTCATGCAGTTCCAGAGGTAATGCTTTGGTCATCACATCAGCTGTCATTTCCTTCGAAGCGATGTGTTGAACTTGTATGGCCTTTTCTTGAATTTGCTCACGAAGAAAATGATGTCTCACATCTATGTGCTTTGTCCTTGCTCTGTATCCTCCCACTCGACTCAGATCCACTGCGCTTTTATTGTCACATTTCAGAATAGGTCCTTCGTCATCGACTTCAGGCATTAATTCATTTAGAAGGCCCTGTAACCAAATAGCTTCTTGCGCCGCTGCACTTAGAGCCATGTATTCTGCTTCAGTTGTGGATAAAGCAATGGTGGGTTGTTTCTTGCTATTCCATGATACAGGGGCCCCTTGGAATGTAAAGACATATCCTGTGGTTGACCGTCTCTCATCTTCATCACCTGCCCAGTCTGCGTCACAAAAACCTGCAAGTTTTCCATTCTCTGTCCTTGTAAAACAGAGTCTGAAGTCCTTTGTGCCCTGGATGTATCGAAGGACTCGTTTCACAGCTGACCAGTGAGCAGAGCCTGGATTATTGTTAAATCGGCTCAATAACGCTAGAGAATATGCCAGGTCCGGACGCGTACCCTGACATGCATACATCAATGACCCAACTGCCTCTTGATATGGTACATTCTCCATGTTTTGAACATCGTTCGTGGATTTTGGGCACATTTCTTTTGTTAGCTTCTCGGATGGACTTAACGGAGTTTTAGTCGGATTGCAGTTTGCCATGTTGAATTTTGATAAAACCTCTTCTAAATATTTTGATTGGTCCAACCATAATTTGCCCTCTTTTCTGTCTCTTGTTACCCGAATTCCCAGGATATACTGTAATTCTCCCAAATCTTTCATTTTGAATCTGCTTTCCAATTCTTTCTTCAATTCATTTTTCATTTTTGTATCGTTGCCCAAAATGAGTAAATCATCTACATAGACTGCGACAATTACAATCTTATAATCCTTGCAAAGATAATATATGCACTCATCTCGTTTTGATTGATTTAGCCCAATTTCTATAAACGCTTGATGTAACTTCAAATTCCATTGTCTTCCAGCTTGCTTCAAACCATACATTGCCTTGTTTAATTTGCAAACTTTATTTTCTTGGCCTCTAACTTCAAATAATTCAGGCTGCTGAATAAAAATGTCATCGTTAAGATCTCCTTGCAAGAACGCAGTCACTGCGTCCATATGATCAATGTCAAAGTCATACTTGACTGCAAGGCCTAAGATCAATCTAATCGAATTGTATCGTACCACAGGTGAATAGGTTTCTTGATAATCTATCCCCTTACGTTGACAACAACCTTTCACTACAAGTCTGGCTTTAAATCGATCTATGTTCCCGTCTTGATCTAATTTTGTTTTAAATACCCATTTGCTGTCAATCACTTTAGCATTGGTTGGCAAATCTGTGAGAGTCCATGTTTTGTTTTCAATGAGTGCATCGTATTCAGCTTGCATTGCTTCAAGCCATCTTGTACACTCAGGACTCGAAACAGCTTCTTCAACATTTTTGGGCTCCCTCGTCAACGACTGAACATGGTAGCAAATATATTCAGAAAATTCCTTTGCTTTTCTTTCCCTACTTGATTTTCTTATAGCGGGTTCTTCTCTTTCGGTGTTTTCGACTTGCTCAACATCATCATTGGTTTCAATTTCATGGACATTACATTCAACCTGAATTTCTTCAATTTCTTGTTCATCAATTTCGTCTGCTTGAGTTTCTTCGATCTCACACTCTTCACTTTCTTCAGTATGATCACGGAGGTTCGTTTCATCGGTGATTGGGTAAAACAACCAATCATTGTTTTCACATTGCGATGCCTTTGGAAGTTCTTTTTCAAAAAATACAACATCTCTAGCCTCCACAATTTTCTGTTTTCTTATGTGATAGAGCCGGTAGCCTTTCGAACCATTTGCATAGCCCACATGAATGCATTCTTCTGACTTCGGGTCCAATTTTCTGCGTTGTTGTTTAGGCACGTGAACAAATGCCCTACAACCAAACACTTTTAAATAGGATAGATCAGGTTTCTTACCTGTGTAAGCTTCATTTGGTGTGACATCTTTCAATGTTCTTGTCGGTGCTCTGTTGATCAAGTGGACAGCTGTATTTACGGCTTCTGCCCAAAACCTTTTCTTCAAATTGGCACCAATTAATAAGCAACGCGTTTTTTCTATGATGGTGCGGTTCATCCGCTCTGCAACTCCATTTTGTTCGGGCGTATGTGGAATCGTTGTTTGGTGACAAATACCAGACAATTTCAGCAGCTTGAGCAACCTGTTGTTGACATATTCAGTTCCATTGTCAGTCCTCAGAGTCTTGATTCTATTTCCCGTCTGATTTTCTACCATATTCTTGAATTCTTGGAAAACATCGTGTACTTCTGATTTGTTTCTTAGGAAGTAAACAAATACTTTGTGGGTGAAGTCGTCCACAAAAGTGAGAAAGTATTTTGATCCTCCCAATGAATTTTCCTCCATAGGACCACATAGGTCTGAATGGATTAGTTCCAAGGGTCGGCTTGAGTTCTTGACATGTGGCTTAAATGGTAGACGGTGTTGTTTGCCCTGCACACATACCTCGCAAGGTTCACTCAGCGAATTTTTGAAATTCGTTCCCGTAACGACCCCGTTTTTTATTCGGTTCATGCTGTCCGTTGACGGATGGCCTAGTCTACTATGCCATAGATGTATATTGTCAGCAACCGATACTGAGTTAGCACCGTGCACCTTATTTTTCGGTCGATCCAGTTTGTACATGCCATTCTTCAGTGTGGCACTGGCGATGAGGGCGTTGCTTTTGTCGTATATACTGCATTTACTGCTCTCAAAGTAGACCTTGTGCCCCTTATTGGTTATTTTGCTTACAGACAGCAAGTTTGTTGTCAAATCTGGCACAAACATAACCTCTTTTACGTTTATTTTGTCAGGTGTACCACCTGTACAAACGTCCAAATTTACCTCCCCCACTGCATCGACATTTAGACGATTTTTATTGGCTACTATAATTTCCTGCGTGGATGAAGGAGGTTTGCTTGCGGATGTCAGCCATGTTTTGTCGTTTGTTAGATGGAC